CATGAAGTAGTAGTTCAATAAAATTTTGAATGTGAGTCAACAACGAGATGACATGGCCTTTCACCTGTGACCTGTATCAAAAGGATTAATGAAACTCCTAAATAATACAAACATGTTAATAAAAATTTGTTCAAGCTACAACTCTATGCACCTACCTTTGTGCAAGACTACTGGATAAACCAGTCGACAAAGCAGTCCCTCCTAAATATACAGTCAAACAGCTAGACAGAAAAATAAATATATTTTAACATGGAGCATTTTCAAAATATAAAAATTGTGGAATATAAAATCTGGCAACTAAAAAGATATTCAACAACAGTACATTTTTGTAAGTGACAGTAATTCATAAACAGTCCTGATAAAAGGGACTTAACATGGAGCCTAAAACATTTTCTAAGGCCTAAACCAATAAAGCAAAGTCCATGAAAAAAAATCATAACTGGAAAATAATAGAATGTTCACATTAAATGAAGCGTATGATCTTGACAAAAATCAGTGACATGATAAATGAGGCAGAGATGCTAGTCTTGTTGAAAGAAAACCTGCAGTCTTAAAAGGCTAGAAATATGGAGACTGGTTAGGGATTCCAAGAAACACAGCAAAGTGGTGGTCTCCTGGCTTAAACTGATTTTCATCATTCTGAGTGTATCTAGATTGCACCTCCTTAATTCTTATTTGAGAAAAACAGATGCATCAGGTATACTGTAAATGACACTAACACCAAAGAAAGAAAAAAAAGTGAATCTGTAAGTATCATAAAAAAGTCTCCAAATATTTAACACCTTGACTATCTTGGATATCAGTGAAGTATCTATGCTTACCATTTTAAGTTCACTCTAAAAAGCACCATCCACACCAGAACTTTCCATATTAATGTATTAAGACATAAGAATTTAAATGACCCTGATAAATTTGGTTCTTCCATCGAGGCTTAGTAAAGGGAGCAAGACAACATACCAGAAACAGCTCTGAAATTACCATTGTTGAATATTTAACTTAATATTTACCAAAAATCTCAGGTTTGCTTTCACTTTTAAAATAAAATCAATGAAACTCCACCAAAATCAGAGATATCTGCTTCTTTGTTGAGATTTGAAGGATTTGAAATCTCATGTTAGCTGGTTAGAAATCTTGCTTGCTTAGCAACAAAAACAATTTGAATAATTCTTATTAGTTGCAAAAAACTCCAGATTTTTGAGCTTATTTAAGGCAAGAGGTAGTCACTTTAATACATACCGTCGTGATGTGGGTCCTGTAGATGTTGTGTGAAGAGTTTGAAATCTCTTATCAGGTATTTCCTCCTTAATAGGAAAAAAATATTATCCTTATTAAAATATTGATAAATGCTGTTAATTAATTAACATTTTTTTTATGCTATTATAAAGAAAAAACATTTATTAATTTATTAAAATCATTTGAGGAAGTATATTGTCATGATATAAAAGACTGTTTGGTTTAGATATTAGTGCTAAATTTATTTTTGTAAGTGAATATTTTATTATTGTTTAGCTTTTGTTATAATAAGAGTTAAAAGCAGATGAATGTAGGTAATTTTTTTAACAATTCATTGACATCGAAAATATAGAAGGCTGGCAGACGAGTAAGTAATAATGATATAAATAGCATGAGACAAACAGGAAGCAGCAGACATAGCGAAAGAGAATAAAGTTAAGTATCATAGATGTGATAGGCCTAACAATTGACATAAACCTAACATTTAATATGTTAAGAGTGAAACTAACAGTAGAAATGAAGATAAGAAAAATAATTTTATTGCATCAAAGTGTGGTTCTAAAGTAATTGAATTAGCTTGAGTGCACTTTGACAAAAGGAACAGAGGATCTTCAAAAGAAAGAAGACCAAACAATTACGGTAACTCACATCACAATTGTAAGCGATTCACAGAGAATACTAGTGCAATAGGAATAGAGATGATAGTTCAGGTTGTCAAGTGAAATCCTAAAGTTATTGAATAGGCCTAAGTGGATATTTGATGAGAAGGAGAGACTACATACATAGTATTTATGATATGTCCATGATATCTATAGTATTATGTATTATCTATAATATTATTGTACATACGTTAACTCGTTCTGAATATATATGTATTATTTTGAAAACAAGTGAAGTGTGTGTGCTGTTTATTCATAAATGAATTTATCGCTAATAAGTCACAGACACCCACTGCAAAAGAATCCTAAGCCAAACAACAACATAGTATATATTTATACTATTAAAAAATATAACTAAACCCTTTCTATTTGACAATTGGCAAAAAGGAAAG